TGTTTCACGAAGGATAGATAATCGATTTCCAGTAGGGATAATCGATTATTTGACAGCTCGAGACAGGAACAAGGTATTTCTTTGGGAAGGAAAAACAAACCAAATTGGTGTTAAGGGATATTACACACCCTTATCTTAACTTGGGGTTGAATCTAGCATTTAAATAAGATATTACACACTCACTTAAATAACTAGAACCTAAAACTCACACTCAAGAGAACCACTCTTAAGATATAGGATTAGGAATTTGGAATGAAACACACAAGTGAATCACTTTGATTAAAATTGGAATACAATGTATGTCTCACAATGCTCAGGGATGAGCTTATATAGGAATATAAAAGGGAGACTACCAAGTCTCTTATTCACACAAATTAAAGAAATTAATGGCCACTTGTTGATGTTTCTTTAGTGGGAAAAACACTGGAATTATTGTACTTGTAGGGCAGGGTTTTGGCTATTAGTGGTGGGAGGGAATATGTGAATATAATTCACAATTGATTGGCTTAGATGGGGTTGTTTTGGGCAAGAGAAAAGGGGTGGGGAAGCAGGTTATTTGGAGGTATTTCCTGGGCTGGATATGGGGTAAAAACATGGGGATTTGAAGGGTGTGGGTGTGGGTCAAGGTGTCTTGGATTTTATGGCTGTTTGTTTAGCCAAGTTGAAGTGTAAAGGAGTGGTATTAGCAGGGTTGTGGCATGAGGTTTTTGGCCAGGGATGAAGGAAAAATAAATGTAGTTTTGGGTTTATTATTTTTTTGGATATTTTGGTTTGGATTGGGTGAGAAAGGTTGGGCCTTTTAAGTTGGAGTTGGGCTCAGGGAAATTATGGCTATGTGGCGGGTTTTAGGATTGATAAGTTCGGCCCAAAAGGAATCATAACACTTAGCCATTATTACGTTAATTTGTTTAACGACTTTAGAGTCGTTGGTAGTCGCCCGGGGTATATCACGTAGTTCTCCACCTTTTTGATGTCTTCGGCATCAAATTCGTCCTCGGTCTTTGGGACGAGTTTCTCCCAACCTTCTTCATTGGCGTTTCTTCGCCGTTCTTGATGACCAACCACAACTGGAAGGTGGTTGAGCGGATATAAATTCTCATCCTCTCTTTCCAATATGTGTAGTTGGTGCCATTGAAGAGTGGTGGCCTAGAAGTTGATTGACCTTCTCCAATCCCTGCATAAAGATTTCTAGAAGAAGAACCCATGATCGCTTTACTCTCAAACGGTTAAGTTTGGACGCAAGTTAGGATCTGATACCAATTGTTAGAATAAAAGACCAACGCTAGAGGAGGGTGAATAGCGTTTGATCGTAGAAATCGCAGGAATAAAAACTTTAAAGGAGAATTAAAGAGAAGAGTAAGAGGCACACCGAATTTACCCTGGCTCACCACAACTTGTGGCTAATCCAGCCTCCCGAGAGACTCTCTCGAGCTACACTACTATATCGTTAAGCTTAACGCTGCTTAACAAACCCTTACAACTTGAGAATTCGAGTCACACGAACCTCAACGAAAGGAAACAGCCCTTCCTTCGAATCAAACAAGAGAAATACTTTCTCTCAACGATTCTTAGAAACACTAATGCACTCAAGAACGAGACTCTCTAAAAGAGTAGATATTGAGTAAACTAAATACGCTCAAGAACAACTCAAACTTCACACGAATTGGCTCTAGAAAGCTATGGAAAATGATGTTGTTTGAATGCAATGAAAGTATGAATATTGTGATGTGAATTGGTGTGTAAAGCAAACCCAAACACCCCTTTTTATAGTGCCAAAATAGGCTCCAACGGACCAAGGCATTAAAGGGATGATTGGCTTGATTTATGGGATTGATTAAAATGTGGATCTGCAGGATATTGGCTTTCCCAGCGATGTATGAACTTACCCATCGCTGGTAAGCCAATTTTCCTTCAGTTTTGAAGCCAACGGTCACCTACCCATCGATGGGTACATGCTTCCCATCGTTGGGTGGGAGGTTGACTTCCAAATAAGGAAAGAATCAACCTTAAATGACTTGCCACGGTCATGCTTAACCAGCGATGGGTATGCCCTCCCATCGCTGGGTTCCCATCGATGGGTTAAAGTCCCCATCGCTGGGTAAGGTCATTCTGCCTTGTGTTAATGTTGGACCAAGGCTTGAACAACGACGGGTAGAACTTCCCATCGCTGTTTGGCATGGTTCTGGAATTCGGTTGGGCTGAAGCTCCGCTTACCCATCGATGGGGAACTCTTCCCATCGTTGGGTGGATGGTTTGCCAAAAACCTATGGTTTTTGCCTTAACCATGGCCTAGCCAACCGATGCAAAAATCGACCGAAAAATCCAAAGTTCTCCAAAATAAAAACCAAGTGTTTAAAACACTTGTTTGATGTATTTGGCTAAGAAATCAAGTGAGACACTTTAAAAACCACGACATTTGAGTAAAAACCACGGCTAGCCAATTTTATGTCGTTTTGCGTGGTTTTTGTCAAACGACAAAAAATGGAAGGTGGTTTTCAAAGTGTTTTTGTTGGAAAACCTTTTAAACATTCAAGAAGTAAAAACCAATCATAAAATGTTGAAAAAAACTTGGTTGGTTCGGACACCAATAACCAACGCTGATAACCGAATGCCGAACGCTGGTTTCTGAAAGCCGAATGCCGGTTTCTAAAAGCCGAACGCCGGATGGCTTGGTTTTTTGTTTGGGCGAACTCCAAGTGTTTTTATTGTATTAAACATGTTTGAAAAACATTTTTATGATATGATAAATGCAATAAAAGATTTTAGCCTAAAGAGCCAAGGCGTGAAGGTTGGGTCAGTCTTGATCACAATTATGACCGACTCAACGATAATAAAGACTATGGTCTTCGTTCTCCGTCTCTTTTAGCTCTTGCTCTCTTTCTTCTCATCTTTGGTTCTCGCCTTGTATTTTCAACGACTTGTCTAGTTCACGGCGGTTTGGCATTATCAAAACCTGTCATAAAAACGAACACGGTTTTAGTACGAAGACGTGATAAACCCGTGTTTCAACAGGAGGTGAAGGGAAGAGGGAGTTTTTATAATAAAGGAATTTATGGTGAATAATGAGATAATTTAAGTTGGGAAATGAATGGGGGGTTATGGGAGATGAAGAGTGTGTAGTGGCGTGTGGTTTGAATGGGAGTTATCTCCCTAAATTTTACTCTGTTGTGTAAAATCTGACCTGAACGGTACGCGGTTTTCCCCCCGAACTGATCCAAATCGAGAACCGATTGCGTTTTCGGAAATAAACACTCAAAACCAAATTTATGATAAAATATTTTTCTCAAAACTTTATTTTCAAACTTCCGGATCCATCCCAATCATTAATTAATTTAGTTAATTAATTAATGTTGAGAGGTCCGTTATAAAAATACATTAACTGTGGAAGTCCATTTAAAATATCAAATTCCCAATATTTACTATTTTAAAATAATGCGTCTCAATAGGTAAATAATATCTATTTATTTAAAATATTGGCTAATTATTAGGCCGGTTTGTAGTGTGTTACAATTATACCCCCCCTTAAAGGAATTTCGTCCCTGAAATTCCCCTCAAGTCACACCTCACGTGTTTAGGGAGATAGTGCGTTACCCAAAACTTTGTTTTGTGGAGAATACAAGGGCATAATAGATAAAAGGGAAATCTACGGATTCCGTTCAAGGAACTTATTTGGTTCAGACAAGTTGGACAAAACGTTGCATCGATTACAACCTCGACTATGCCACAAGTTAGCACATAACCCACTCGTCTAGTCGGGCTGAGTCCACTAGAGGAATATCCACACCTGCGCCGCAGATACTGTTGGCAGAGTCCACACCTGTTTCCTCTGGATCATCTCTTTCCACGCCGCTTTCCTGCGTTTTCAAATCCTTAGCCTTGCTATCGGAGCCTTGCGATGTGCCCGTTGGTAGCGCTCTTTCGAATCGTAACTCTGCCTCTTGTTCTTTCGTCTCTTACCAAGCACGAAGGTTCGAGTGGAGTCAACGCTTCGGGTACAAATGGTACTCATCTAGCAATCGCAAAGTGTCAAAATGGGAACAAGTGAACGCATAACGCAATAAGTAAATCGCTTCGTTGTGTGCTCACATGCTCAGGCACTCCTATGTGGATCTACCTATCCGTGATCTGCTGTTTAACCCACTTTATGAAAGAAGAGGCATAATAATTGTTGTACCCGAGACCCGGGGTCTTGTCGAGTAGCTATTTTATGGCGGATTTGCGGGAGGAAATGGATGATGGAATTGAAGGGGTGAAATATGGAGTGTGGGAAAGAGTTCTTTTTGGTGTTTTTAATGAGAGAAAAGAATAAGTTTAAGAAGAAGAAATGGTGAGGAATGAAATGGACAGAAATAAAGTGAAGGGATAAACCAAGTTGGTGTTAAGAGATATGACACACTCTTATCTTAACTTGGGGCTTTTATCTTCTTTTACACATTAATAATCACTACTAATGTATAAAATTAGACTCCTAACACGCACTCAAAAGTAGCCAACTTTAGAGATATTTCATTATGAAATTTGGTTAAA